ACGCATGCAACAAACAAAAAACAGAAAAATGACAAATAGCAGATAGATTTCAGATTGCACCCAAGCAACATATATATGGCGGATAACAGACAGATTTGCAAAAAGACAGACTTGCAAATGCATGATTTCAAAATCACAAGACCTCCAGGTACAATCCAAGTTGAATGTACCCGGAGAAACACATGTTGGTAGACTATATCTACGGCATGAGAAAAATTGGCTTTGATACCATGTTAGAAATTTTGGGGGAAAATAATGAAATTGTCTTATTGATCATCAAGATAATAGGCCTATATATAGACAATACAAAACAGGCTCGATAGATTCAAATCTAAGTAATCTAATATATGGATAAGACCAAATCTAAATATAAATCTACTAAATCTAAGACTGAATATCTAAAAATATCTCAACAACATACTTTTGTTGAGAGAGAAATATACCATCTTTTGTTTGCGTGACTTCCAAGCTGAGAAAGTATCCAAGTTTCCCCAAACCTGTCATCTCAAACATGCTCATTATAACATTTTTAAAATCAGTAATTAGTTACATAGATGAACATGTATGGATCATGTCGGCAACATAAATGCTCACCATCATCACATCTTCCATACCTCCCGTCTTTATATACAATATTGTCTCATTGGAACTTTTCTGAAATCCATAATGGAGAAAGAAAATATCAATCTTGCTATACCAGGCCTGAGGAGCTTGCTTTAGGCCATACAAGGCTTTTCTCAGCTTGTACACTTTATTTTCAATTCCAGATATGATGAACCCCTTTGGTTGTTGTACGTAAACCTCCTCATGTAGATCTCTATTCAGAAATGCTGATTTAACATCAAATTGGAATACCTCCCACTGAAAATGAACTGCAAGTCTCAAATCGTGCAACTGATGAAAATGTTTCTTTATAATCTAATCCACGCTCCTGTGCATAATCACGCGCGACTAATCGCGCTTTATGCTTCTGAATACTCTAATCTGAGTGAAATTTGATCTTGAAGATCCATTTCAAACTGATAGCTTTCTTTCCCTCCGGCAAATCTGTGAGTTGCCAAGTGTTGTTTTTTTCAATGATTAGTAGTTTTTCTTTCATTGTTGTTTTCCACATGGGACTCTTCATTGCTCACTTGATACACTCAGGCTCTTCACTGAACATTGCAAAGGTGCACTATTCATCATCATTAGCACGTTCGACTTCAAATCTTCTTTTTGGAATTAGGCCACACTTACTCCTGTGAAACTGCAGATGAGGTGATTCTTCGTCATCTAGAGATGTAGGTGTACTGCTGCTGATTTCAACCGGAGAATGATTCTTTTTCATCATTTTCTTCTTAATATGTTTCGAGAGTTGAGTTTGGGATGAGAGTTTCTGTGGTACTGGCTTCATCAAGGCCTGTTTTCTCATCAAATTGAACATCTCTACTCACCACTATTTTTCTCTTTTCTGGGTCAAATAACCTGTATGCTTTTGAGTTCGTACAATAGCCAACAAAATTGTATTTTTTTGTTTTTGACTTAAGCTTATGTCGACTGGATGTAACGATCGCAAAGCATAAGGAACCAAAAATTCGAAGATGGCAAACAGATGGTTTGAATTCATACCAGGCTTCGAACCGCATCTTGTTCCATACTGCTTTTTTTGGAGAGATGTTGATCAAGTAGACTGTTGTGGCAACAGCTTCTGCCAATAATTTATTTGATATATTTTTTTCCTTAATCATGGACCGAGCCATTTCCACCACAGTCCTATTTTTGCGCTCTGCTATGCCGTTCTGTTCCGGAGTGTATAGAGCTGTAAGTTCTCTCTTGATTCCATGGTCTTCACAAAACTTGTTGAATTCAATAGAGCTGAATTCCCCTAATCTGTTAGTCCGCAGTAATTTTAGGCTCTTATTGCTTTGGTTTTCCATAAGTGCTTTAAATTTCTTAAAGTACTCGAACACCTCAGATTTGAAAGTAAGAAAATACACCTAACACTTACGAGATAAATCATCAATATATAGTAAAAATTACCTACTACCAGCAAGTGACTTTGTTCTCATGGGGCCACACACATCAGCACAGACAAGTGCGAGTTTCTCATCTGCTTTTCTTGATTGTCCTATGCAAAATGACCTTCAAGTTTGCTTTCCGAGAGCACATCCATGACATACGTGATCCAACTCCTTTATCTTGGGCAAACCATTCACCATTCCTTTGTCTGAAAGTAGCTTCAAACCCTTCAGATAAAGATGGCCATATCGTCGGTGCCAAATTTCAGATTTGGATTCGTCAATGTTATTGCTCATCATTCCATAGATTCTGGTGCACATAAATTCAATTGGAAATATCTTGTTTCCACTCATTTTTCCCTCCAACAGTATCTCTCATGTTTCCTTCTTCACAACACATGCATTTTTCTTAAATATAACAATATAGCCAGAGTTAACCAATTGTCCAACGCTAATCAGATTTTGTGCCAAACCAGGTGCATAATGAACATTCTTTATAAATTTATAATATCCATTGATGCTGATTTGAACACTTCATTTTCCTTCTATGTTAACTATCTTGCCATCTCCCAATCGAACTTGTGTTTTTCTGTCTCATCCAATTCTTTAAATTTTTTCTTATTACTTGTCAAATGATTTGAACATGCACTATCAAGATACCATACATCATTAGAGGTGGCTTGGTGACTTACATATGTCATGAATAAGTAGTCTTCTTCTTTATCTGTATATTGAACTTCTTTTCCTTTACTCCAACAATCACTTTCTTTATGTCCATACGTATTGCAATAGGTGCATTGTTCCTTGCTCTAACAGTTACTTTCTCTGTTCCCAAGTTTTTTTTACAGTAAGTGCACTAAATTGTATTGGTTCTGCCGCGTCCTCTTCCTCGACTCACCCCTCGGTCTTTACCTCGACTAGGTATAGCACATGCTTGCTCTCCTTGCACTTGTAAGGCTTGCTCTTCCTCATTACTTATACTTCTATTAAGCCGAACTTTGTGCACTTGTAGAATCTCATAAGTTCATTAACAGAGTATGTTGAGAGATCTTTGGACTCTTCGATTGCTGTAAGTATATGGTTGAACTTGGGAGATAGGCATCTCAAAATTTTTTCAATAATGATATGATCTATGAGCTTTTCACCATACGCTCTCATCTTGGCTAACAAGAGAAGAGACTCGAGAAAGGAAATCTTGTACAGTTTCAGTATCTCCCATCATTGATGTTTCAAAATCTCTTCGGAGAAATTGTAGTTTTATAGTGATTACCTTTGTAGAGCCTTGCTACACTGTTTTGAGGGTTTCACACACATTCTTTGCAGATTGTGCTTTTGCAACTCTTGGAAATATGATTTTATCTACAACTTGTTGGATAACAAATAGGGCTTTCATCTTTTTTAAGAATTTCCTTATTGTTGGCCATGGCTTCACGGATTCCACTTTCAACAATTTCCCACAAGTCTTGTGATTTAAAGTACGTGCTCATTGATGTCTCCAAATATGAGCATATTTTCCACACGATAAAACTATGTATTACTTGAATTTTTGTATAAAAACTATCACATATCTGATTTATGACATACTTTATTGATCTATCTCGCTTGGCATGATCTAGAGTTGGTTTGTTGAGATTATTAACAATTTTTGCCATTTTAAGCGGTGATATAGGTCCAAAAAAGCTAAGGCAGATGAGACAAGCGATAGTCATTTCTACTCACAAGCGACGACTCAATCGCTCAAAAAAGCTAGGGCAAGAGAGGCAAGCGAGAGTATCTACTGCTCCCAAGCGATAGCCGCTTCCGCTCGCAAGTGACGCTCTAGCACTCAGGCCAGCAATTAGACACCCACTGCAGCAAAGCTACGGCAACTCAGTGCAAATATCGTCTAAGTATCCAACCCGCAGCGGTACAGTTATTCCACTACTAGCCAGCACAGACAAACCCCAAACCCGCTCAGCTTCGCTGATGCTCTCCAGTCATCCGGCAAGTGAGGAAGATCTGCGCCCTTACAAGCCCAAGCAAGCGAAGCGAGCACCATGAGAGTTATGGCCAACAGTTGCTTTAACAGAATAACCGCCACCAACTTCCTAACTACCTAGCGGTTGGAACTACTTTGTAACTGCTTGCAACTGCTACTTCCACCAGCTATAAATAGGGTCAGATATCTATACGTAAAATATACTTCGAGAGTAAATACTAGCATTTCTTTTCGCGCATTCTAGTTGTCTTCTTGTCTCTCGAGAGAGCTCCAACCCTGTAAGGGAGTTTTCAGCAGGAATGACTAGGGGAGTTAAGATTTCTCTTCTCCTTTGGCCACCACTTTATTGCTTACTTAGTTTAGTTTATAGTTTTAATTACAGTTTTTGTAGAATTAGAAGTTCCTGCTTTGGTAGTAAGTAATGAAATATCATTTGTTCTTCGTCATCACTACTTCCACACTTTTCACATTTATATAAACCCTAGTTGTAAAGAATCTCATTTTGCTGAGAAAGAACGCAGAAAAATTGATTATCCAAACTTTGTCTCTTTTGTCACAAACAGATTCAAGGTAGTTCAATGTAGTTAAGTACGCGAAAGCCTTGTCGACCTGCTTAATTACTGGTCTTAATTCAATTTTGATTAAAAAAGTAACAGAAGGGTAAAGCCACAAATGAGACAGAAATTGGGATAATTAATGGGCATAGGCGATAGTCTATTAGATCGCAGAAATTCCTAGTGACACAGTAGAGACAAAACACCTCTCCTATCACTTTATACCACTCAATCTATATAAATATATTTTGTGGCATCCGTTCATATCCGTATCGCTAACACCTTGTCCGCTCACCCATCAACTTTATATATTTTTTTTATTATAAAAAAAAATAGATATAAAAAATAGATATAAAATTGGCAGACGGAATGGGTATATTATTATTATTATTATTATTATTATTATTGTTATTATTATTATTATTATCGGAAACATGATGATTATTATTAGTAATAATGCTTGAGCCTGAGTTTCCAATTCAACAACTATGGAAATATGATTATCAAATAATTCATTAACAGGCCTATTATTTTGATGTACTACAAAATTAATAATCAACCACACGGCGGGCCTTTAGGATATACTTATATTGATGGAAGATGCAAGGGAGAGGGAGATCAGAAGGGAAGGGCATGGAATCATCACGACATATTTACCGCTGCGGCTGCCTCCGTTCACCAACTTTGGCGTCTTCTGTCCCTCTGTACACAAAATTTCCAGCCAAAAGAGAAAGAAAGAAAGAGAAGTCAGATGGGGTACCTAGCAGCTGCGTCTTTCTGTTTCTGTTTCCATTTCCATTTCCATTTCCTTTCCACCAACCATTTTCTTCTACAACTAGTCTCCTACTAAACATTCTTCTAACACCAAATTGACGATGATAACTACTTTCGTCGTCGGATGATGATCAGTGAATTAACAGTGAGCCATGAGAGAGAGAACCTGATCATCTTCTCATAAATATCTTATCCACCGGAAACGAAGAACAGAACGTCACCGATGGAGTAGAGAGGTTATCATTCGGTGAAGGGTATTTTCTTTGATCCTCCGCTCTCCACTGAATCTCTCCACAGCCTGTATCTAACCCCAAGCTTATCATAGGATACCGGAGAGTTCCACACATTTGCACCGTTGAGCATGCGCTCTTGTTGCCCTATTACAAGCCGGAGATCCTCGTTCAAAACCTGCCATCATCATCATCATCATCATCATCATCAGTACACCACACCACAATGTTCGTCATCCTCTCAAATTAATTCGAATTTAAAAAAAAAAAAAGTTAGTTCCGTCCTTTGTTCGTGCCGTGTGTCCCTTACCTTATCAGCAAAATGTCGCCACAGATATTTCATGAAAGGCACATGCTTCAGTATTGGAGCAAAGTCAAGCGACATTCTGTACAGCAATCTTGTCTTCTGCCTCGACGAAGGTAAGCAAACATGTAGTTGGTGAAGATGTGTTGAACACTCTCTTGTGCTCTGCCCTTTCAATTTCCCCGGCTTTGAGATCCCAATTGTCGACAGCACCATACATGGTGGTCGGAATTCCATGTCTATAGGGTAGGGATCCCAGTAGCCTTGAAGACCAGCACCAGGTGTCAGGAATTTCACCAAACTGCAGCAAACAACATTATATGCAATGCAGTGAGCACACAACATGCATGCAAGTTCTTTTGGGGTAAGAGACTGATTGATATACTCACCTGGGAACGCTCCATCCCTTGGCGAATGTGGAAGTGTGAGTAAAAGGTGCATGCGCAAGATCTAGAAGATTGTCGAGTAGTAGTCCGTGTTCTACAGGAAGTTCCATCACAATCTTCATGCCATGCCATTGTCAGGAATGGTGTCAGGAAAAGAAAGATCCTTTACAAAGAAACTAACTAAAAAGAATTATGCAAGTTGGACATGCTAAAATACCTCAGCATGTATTTGAAACCCTGCCGGTGGAAGCAAGGAAGGAAGGTTTGGGGCTGGAGGATCATCTCCAGGCCAGATCCATACCATTCCTTCTTGCTCAAAGCATGGCAATGCCCGGATCTTCACGTTTCGAAATTTAGTTGAAGGCATTTTCTCACATTTCCCATCAGCTGAATATTCCCACCCTGCCGTATATGATTCAGTGGTAATATTTAGAAACGGAAGCCTACGAGATTACAAATGAAGAATAGCGTCAATCAATCTCACCATGATAAGGGCACTGAATTCGACCCTCATTAACTGAACCCAGATGAAGAGGGCAGGCTCGATGAGCACATGTATTCTGCACACATCCGGGTTTGCCATCTTTCCCTCGAAACAGGACCCAAGGCTGCTCAAAGCAGTCCATTGGAACCTGGAAAATAGAAATTTATAAATCGTCTGGTTAGAAAGTTTGAAGCAGCAGCCATATAAGAGAACATGATAACCCAGCTTGAAAAACCATGTCAACTAAGCAGGAAAAAAACAAAGAAGGAAAGTACAATTACTACCATGGTATCATCCTTGAGGTCTGCAGAGAAGGCAACAGGATACCAAAAATTCTTCAAACGAGCACTGTAGGACCGAACAGGGCCAGAAACATTCAATCTTTTTGTTGGCTGTCTGCTCTTCAAATTGGCCCCCAAGTCTCTGGAAGTACTTGGTATTGGCGTTGGCACATCGGATTCTGTTACATTTCTTTCTTGCAATATCTTATCATTAACCAATGTTTCCATGAAAGCTAACTTGTCTAGAGCAGCAGAAACTCTTGCTTCTGATATGTGAACCTGTAGATCACCACCAATCCAACATTTTCGTTGTCATTAAAAAAAAAAAAAAGGTGGTTCTAAAACACAAATAAAGAGTTGGGAAAAAAGTGTTAGGAACAATCAACCATACCTGATTGTGGGCTTGTGTCAATTCCTCCTGCAGCCCTGCGAGGTCCTTCTTAAGAGTTCCTATTGATTTGAATTCACGAGCAAGAGGGTTTAATACCTCCACAACCTGCAGGTAAGGACACATTTCAATAACATGTACAGGGATGAAACACACCACAATGCATTACTAGATTGATATACATCAGATAGACTTTGATTAACCTTTTCATGCAGAAGCATGATTTGGAGAACGTCCTGCCGAGCCTTCCAATCACAGTATTGTATATCAAATCGAGCCAATTCTAAAGCTTGATATATGTCCAGGAACTTCCCTTTATACTGAGGGACTTTATTCCTGGGATCTTCCACATCAAAAAGTGATGTCCATGGATTCTTTCGTCCTGCCAATCCTCCTTCATCCCCAATTATTGCAAATACCCTCAGACCACCTCTGAATTCCTGAAATCACACCCAACAATTCTAGGGTTCGAAACCAGGCATATCACTCCCAACCACAAATTAGAACAAGAAGGATATTCGGTGCAAAATGCTACTACTGGAAGCAGGCCAAGAACTAGTTATTGACTTAATAAATTAGAGTTAGGATTAAAATTCTCAATCTAACTAATTGATCCGGAAATTACTACTTTACAGTAAACAAAAATCATCTTAAATATAGTGAGCAGCTGATAAAGGGGCTTTTTAACAGATGAACTGAAACAAGAACGTTACCCTTTTGCCGTTAAGCTTGGAAGAACGGCACAGGGTGATTGGGAGAGAGAGAGTAGCAGCAGCGGCAATGGCGGACATGGCAGGGGCTCCTGATCGGGTCGGAATTCGGCAGAGAATCCGGTCCGAAGAAAGAAATACTGGAAAGCAGAGCCAGTACGTGTGTGCTGTGCGTGAGAGACAGAGTAGAGGAAGGAAGGGCATTTTCTTTTCTTGATAAGAGGCGGGTATATCGCGCGATCTCGACTATCCTCCCATGGATGGCCACGTGGAGAGGCGTGGGGTTCCTTTGGCTGCACTCGTGGCGCCTCCATTCTCCACACACTGTATGCGATTCGCTGCCTTGTGAATTTCCTCTGAGAGTTTTCAAATCCGACACAACCTGCTCGTTGCCACATCGGATGGTCTATCCATCTTCTTCCCCCATCCGCATCCGATCCGATTGCGCACATCAGATCAGATCGCATTGATTTTTGTTTGTTTAACCACCGCTACTATCTTTCACTTTGTCTGTCACCACATTGATTTATCACTGCAAGTGCCACAGTTGTTTACTCACTCACGCCCACACCCCACGGACTGGGATAAAATTAAAACAGTCGACGAGAAATCGCTACTTACACTCTATAATCGCATCTCACGCTTTCGTTGCTCTAGTGTCGATAACCGTACGGTGCAAATCAAATTCCCACAACGAGGAAATTCACGGAGCAAAGTAGTATATCTATCTATCTATCATGGCGAGGGGAAGCGCCGGCGGCATCGGAAGTAGAGGCAATAAAGAGAATAGTAAAGCTGGGGCTTTCTTTATGGCCACTTTGCTGTTATGGGGAATCTCAGTTATTTTTGAAATTCTTTTCAACAAGCGGACCGAGCTAGCTCCGATTCTTATTGGATCCGTTTTCTTCCAAACAGCCAACGTCGTCGTTCGGAATTTTGTATCACACGATCCCCTCTTCGTTAACACCTGCGTCTCTCTCCTCCATTCCTCCATCACCTCTGTCTCTGGTCAGCTCCTTAACAAAGATGCTTGCTTGAATTTCATTTTCCGTCTGTTTTTACCTGTAGAAATTAGCAACTTCTGAGTTTTTTCTACTTTTACTGTTTTATTGCCTCTTAATCTTGAATTGCAACCAACGTAATCCATTATTGCTAAACGTTCATTGTGCTAATGCTTTTTATGGGGTTTATTACAAGTTGATTGACTCTGTGTTCATCACTTTTCCATCTTGTGATCATTGACTAATTCGGAATTCTTTGTTCACTCGCTCCCTTTTTTGAGGTGAACACTTTGTTTTGTTTGGTCTGTCTGTCTGTATTCATTGGTCTGTGCTTGACACAGTTTCGTATATTCGTTGCAGTGGTTCTTATATTGCTGAATCAGTTGGTAAAAGGTGGTGTTAATCAGATGTTTGAGCATTCTGAATTGGTTGAGGTTACTTGGCCATGGGCATACCAGGCTCTGTGCTTTTCGTGTGGTTACTTTGCTTATGATCAGTGGGACATGTTGCAGTATCGGTTATACAGTGGTTGGATCCCCTCAATCCTAGTGCATCACTTAGTGCTCCTGCTTTGCTTTACTCTAGCATTATATCGCAAGGTCACAATCAATTATCTCATCCTCACTCTCATTTGTGAGGTAAAACGAAATTCTCCCTTACATTGATAGAACTAACCTATGTACACTATAGTATAGAAACTGGAGAGATGGATGATCTTATCATAACAATACAGTCATTTGCATTAGTCTTTCTTCTATGTAAAAAGTATACAACTTATATAGTTTTGTTAATTAGTTTGGCATGGAAACAGTTACAGGTGTCATAAAATTAGACATTAGTTACAAACACCTAGCAATATAATTTTCTTCATTTATAATGATGTGAATATATATATATATATATATACACATATATACCACATTAAGAAGAGCTGTAAATAGCTGCTGCGTTAACAGGTAGGAAGGTCAAGGTCTTCTTCATATGTCTTAATTTAATTATCTGATTTCGTAGGTTTTGATCATATCTTGATGTAGTGCTTTTATGTTAGATGGCCTAGAACGATAAATGATTCTATGTTATGCTTTGTTAGTTTCTCTTAAAATAACCTAGCTCTCTTGTGGAGGTACTACTATCGCGTAGTGTAAAGAAATCATGTGTAAATTGTATGTAGCATGTTGTGGTGAAAATTTAAAACTTGTTGAGAAAGCTTTTCCTGAAATAGAAAGGTGAGCAAAGCTGCATTGGTATACTATGGTCGGTCATTCACAAGAATACTACACGACAGTACACTACAGCTAGCAGATGAAACAAATGCCTAATAATATAATGAACTCTACTCCTAACAAATGCGTGCATGCCTGCAGCTGCATTCTATTTTCCTTCATATTCGAAAAGTCCGACGGATGGCTGGTGTTCGAGATTCTAGGAGCAAAATTGTGAAGGCAGAATGGGGTCTCAACTGGGTGGCCTTCATCTTTGCAAGGCTCCTCGCCCACATACTCATCACCGTCAAGCTGATCAGAGATGCTCACAAGTTTGGGAAGGGTGTCGAGCTCCCACTTGCTTTCTTCGGAATGGCTGGAATGAATCTGCTAAATATCTTCCTTGGAATTGACCTCTTTAAAGCTTATGGGAGAGAGCGAGTACGAGCACGAGACCCGAAATCTCAGGAGGATCACCGTAGCCATCAACAATGACATGCTCGTAGTTTGCTGGGCCATTTTTTCATTCTTTGTACGATCCTGTTGTAGATCACGCCCCCAACATGCATGCTACATGGCATATACATGGCATGGTTAAGAGAAGTAAAAAGAAAGACGTTGTGAAGTAATTGAGACATGTATTGAGATAATGGCTTTGTTTATTATTTATTTATTTATTATGCAATCTTTGTTTCTTATAAATATATATTCCCAAAAAAATTGATATTATATTGATAATTGATAAAAAATATATATAAAGATTTATTTTTTGTCCTTGTTAATGTAATTGAAACAAAATGCAGTGATATATATGTACTACTAATAATAATATATAAATAATTTTATAGTAATAAAATTATTTACGAAAAATAAAATCATTATTTTGGAATGAATAGAAATGATAAAACAGGACTACGAGAGGGAGACCACGGGACTATTATTTTAACCTACAAAATACTATTGTAGGCATTAAAAAAAGTAAAATTTCAATGAAATTAAGATATTTAATTATACATATATATATTGATTTTTTTACAATAAATATCACATATTAATACAAAAATTGCTCCAAAATAGAAAATATCGTATAAATAATACATGTAAGCCATAATAATTTTAGCATAAATTTAAATGAAACTTACTAATTAAGTACCACAATTGATATTTGATCAAAAAAAAAAAAACAATTTTTAAAGATCTTAAAAAAAAAATGAATATAATCAAATCCCATTAAAAGGCAAAACAACATTTAACGAGAAAGAAAATATTATAAAAATCTTCTCGTCAACCAACTAGAATGTGTAACGTAGCGTCGTTGAAAAGAAAGTCAAGATCATATCTCCCCTATAAATAGGAGTATTGACCAATCTATTTCATACATCGGAACTAATTCGAAGACCCGAGCAAATTGTAAGTCTTTCTAGACTTACTTTACAATGTTCTTCGTATTCTTTGTGTCCTTTGAAACATCTTCGTCGAAACTCATTAATTTGGACAAATCGATGAATTAATGTTCTTCAGAGTATGTTCGAGCCACCGGAAACCCTAACCCCTAAACCATCTGCCGATTTTCCAGCCACCGGAAACCCTAACCACGACTTCACCAATGTTGTTCCACCACTTCATCATTTTCCGATCAACACCGCCATTAAGGTATCCGTTGATCCAACCATTTTCCGACCACCGCACTACCGCCATCATTTTCATAAGCCCAAAAAACCCCCAATTTGGTTACTCGCACCGACGTATCGCCGTAGAAGGAGCTGGATATACCCCTGATAAAAATATGTCAAAAACGACATCGCCGGAAAACTGCCCCTTAGGCGGTTTCTTTTTTGATTAAACGGATACTTCTCCCGAAAGATATCTTTTCGTCGATAAAAAGTCTCATTCGAGCGGATGCAGATAGTCTCCCGACTTTTTATTTCAGATAGAAGGTTTCACCCTCTTACTTGTTTTTTGTGGCACTTAGTTTTGATATTACTTAGACTTGATACACTTACTATTTCTTGGCTGGCGTTGATGCGTTAGACATGTTATCTTTGGCTTTTGATACTTAGACTAATTTGGCTTGTCTGGTTTTTTTGTGTGACTTGGACTATATAGCTTGTATGAGCAGAACTACATATGGCTTGATCCCGTTTGGGTACGTAGGCAGCCCACTTTGGGTGCAGCCATTGCTATTTAGTTTTTACCAAAAAACCCCTAAACCCTAAACCATCCGCCGATTTCCCAGCCACCGGAAACCCTATCCTCGAATTCACCACTGTTGTTCCACTACTTCATCATTTTCCTATCAATACCGCCATTAAGCTATCTGTTGATCCAGCCATTTTACGGCCACGGCACTATCGCCATTGTTGTCATCAACCCCAAAAACCCGCAAGTTGGTTACTCGCACCGCTGTATTGCCGCAGAAAGCGCTGGAAATACTCCGATCAAAATCCGTAAAAAACTGCATTGCCGGAAAACTGCCCCTCTGGAGGTTTCTCTTTCGATTGAGCGGACACTTCTCCCGATAGATATCATTTTTTCGATCAAAAGTCTCATTTGAGGGGATGAGATCGTCTCCCTATTTTCCATTTCAGGTAGAAGGCTCCGCCCTCTAACTTGTTTTTTGTGACACTTAGTTTTGATAGTACTTAAAATTGATAGGATTAGTATTGTTTGGTTTGTGTTGATGCTTTAGGCATGTTGCCTTTTGCCTTTGATACTTAGACTACCTGGGCTTGTCTGGTCTGTTTTGTTTGACTTGGACTGTATAGCTTGTAACAACAGAACTACGTATGGCTTGATCTCGTTTGGGTACGTAGGCAACCCACTTTGGGTCCATCAATAGCTATATAGGTTTTTACCAAAACAACCATAAACCACAAACCATCCGCAGATTTCCTAGCCACCGGAAACCCTAACCATGACTTCACCACTGTTGTCTCACCACTTCATTATTTTCTGATCAACACCACCATTAAGGTATCCATTGATCCAGCCATTTTCCGATCACCACACTACCGCCATCATTTTCATCAGCTCTATAAACCCTAAATTTGGTTACTCGCACCACTGTTTCGCCGTAGAAGGCGCTGGAAATACCCCGATCGAAATCTGTAAAAAATTGCATCGCCGGAAAACTGCCCCTCTGACGGTTTCTCTTTCGATTAAGCGGACACTTCTCCGGAAATATATCATTTCGTCGATCAAAAGTCTCATTCGAGCGGATGCAGATGGTCTACCGACTTTCCATTTCATGTAGCAGGCTTCACCCTCTTCCTTGTTTTTTGTAACACTTAGTGTTGATATTACTTACATTTGATAGGATTAGTATTGCTTGGTTGGTGTTGATACTTTATGCTTTATGCATATTGCCTTTGGCCTTTGATACTTAGACTACCTTGGCTTGTCTGGTTTGTTTTGTTTGACTTGAAGTGTATAACTTGTAACAACAGAACTACGTATGGCTTGATCCCGTTTAGGGTTTAGGGTTTTTTTTTATGGCTGAGCTCAGGGAGCTGCTTACGTACCTAAACGGGATCAAACCATACGTAGTTCTAAAAAATTTTGCGTACAAGGTCTAGAAAATGTTAAAAAAACAGTAAAAAGAAACTTATAAAAGCTAATAAGAACTAACGAAAGCGAAAGCACGGAAGGCCCACTGCGTCAGCATGGATGAAGCCACGAGCCCTCACAGGGATGTCCGCTGGCTCCAGAATCCGCATGTGAGGAAGGGAGACTGATGTGTTCGCTAGGTTGTCCGCCATTTGATTGTCTTCGCGGTAAATATGGGAGATCCTCCACTCGATGGTGCGTAATTGAAGACGCAGGTGGTGGAGACAAGGGTTTAGGGTTTTTTTTTTTTTTTTTTTTTTTGGCTGGGCTCAAAGAGCTGCCTACGTACCCCAACGGGATCAAGCCATACGTAGTTCTGCAAATTTCGGTACAAGTGCTGGGAATGTAAATAGAAATTGTAAACAAATAAAAGCTAACGGAAGCGAAAGCACGGGAGGCCCGCCGCGTCAGCATGGATGAGGCCACGAGTCCTCGCAGGGATGTCCGCCGGCTCCAGGATCCGCGTGTGAGGAAGGGCAACAGAGGTGTTCGCCAAGTTGTCCGCCACTTTATTGCCCTCGCGGAAAATATGAGAGATCCTCCACTCGATGCTGCGAAGCTGTAAGCGCAGGTGGTGGAGACAAGGCTGGAGAGTCCAGTGTCCCGTCGAGGAGGAGATGAGAGAGATACTGCTGGCCGAGTCCGTCTCGATCCAGAGAGGGAGAAGGCCGCGTGCTACCGCCAGGTCCACTCCGGATCGAATCGCTTGCAGTTCAGCCAAAGTGTTTGTCGTATCCAAAAGGGGAACTTGGAATGCCACAAGTGGAGCGCCGGTGGCATCCCGAATGACACCCGCGGCTCCAGCGGTGCCTGGATTCCCGAGCGATGCCCCATCAGTATTGAGTTTGAACCAGCCTGGAGACGGAGCTTCCCAACGCACCATGACCGGCGGCCGAAGAACCGGAGGTGGGAGGCGAAGGCCGAGACAAGAGGCTAAGTGCACCTCCCCAGGCCAGTGTTGACGCTGAAGGAGGCCGGCACGGCCTAAGACCTGCAAATGAGAGTGAATACGCCAAATAATCCGGTCAGATGAAATCTGGATACCTCGGTGTTTGGCGTCATTCCGTGCCGTCCAAAGAAACCAGAAGGCCAGAAGTGGGATATAAGTACGGATACTCCGCGCATAAGGGGAGGACAGACGCCAAGCAGAAACCATGAGGTGGGGCGCATGTGTCCGCGGAAGTTGGATGCGAAATAGGTCGGCGAGATAGCGCCACACACGCTGGGCAACCGCCGACGAGAGGAATAAATGCTCAATCGTCTCAGACTCCCGACAGCACTGGCAGCGAGAGACAAGGGTTTAGGGTTTGGGGTTTGGGGTTTGGGGTTTTGGGTTTCGGGTTTCGGGATTCGGCTTTGGGGATTCGGGTTTGGGGATTCGGGTTTAGGGTTTAGGGTTAGGTTTTTTTTTTTGGCTGGGCTCAAAGAGCTGCCTACGTACCCAAACGGGATCAAGCCATACGTAGTTCTGCAAAGTTCGGTACAAGTGCTTGAAAAGTAAAGAGAAAATGCAAAAAATAAAAGCTAATGGAAGCGAAAGCTCGGGAGGCCCGCCGCGTCAGCATGGATGAGGCCACGAGTCCTCGCAGGGATGTCCGCCAGCTCCAGGATCCGCGTGTGAGGAAGGGCAACAGAGGTGTTCGCCAAGTTGTCCGCCACTTTATTTCCCTCGCGGTAAATATGAGAGATCCTCCACTCGATGCTGCGAAGCTGTAGGCGCAGGTGGTGGAGACAAGGCTGGAGAGTCCAGTGTCCCGTCGAGGAGGAGATGAGAGAGATACTGCTGGCCGAGTCCATCTCGATCCAGAGAGGGAGGAGGCCGCGCGTTACTGCCAGGTCCACGCCGGATCGAATCGCCTGCAATTCAGCCAAAGTGTTTGTCGTATCCAAAAGGGGAACTTGGAATGCCACGAGTGGAGCGCCGGTGGCATCACGAATGACGCCCGCGGCTCCAGCAGCGCCTGGATTCCCGAGCGATGCCCCATCAGTATTGAGTTTGAACCAGCCTGGAGACGGAGCTTCCCAACGCACCATGACCGGCGGCCGAAGAGCCGGAGGTGGGAGGCGAAGGCCGAGACT